TTTCACTTGGCATGGCCCATAGCTTTTTCCACTATCATCTTCATTGCAATTTACTGAGATAACACTATCAACTTATTAATGTACTCTGAGCATCAACTCTTTGGACTACACTTGGCAGTACTCAGCCAGCTAACATCATTCTAATCCTGATGGTTACTCTTCTCTAGTATGATGGATTTATTAGGAGACTGCATGACTTACTGCTAAAGAATGGGCCTTGCCACTAAGTCAGGCGGTGTGAGGAAGACAAGTGTATCTGAAGTCCTAATTCTTAACTCAATCATCTGCTAGCGATGTGAATTGCATTATGGATCATTCTGACAAGACAGCCCGCGCAGACAACAAATTCTTTACTGTGCTTTTACAGAAATTATGTTGCATACAATTAGAAAACAGCTAAATCATGTATAAAAAGTAAAAAAAAACTAAATACATCTATCTATTTTTAGATGACTTACAGACAGCTGTAAAAAAATATGAAGAAATGTGTCATGGCGCGTCCTCAACAGAGTCCTCCAGAAATATTTTGTGGAAAAGAATATGAAGCGATCCTCCTGGGACTGATAAGACTCTTCGGCCGGTTGGGTGTTTTGCCCAAACTGACATTTTCTCCTGGCCTTTCAGCCTGTTTTCAAATTCCTTTTTTGTTGCTAACTAACACAGCTTGACAGGATAGTGGTGAACTCATCTCAAGGAGTGTGGTTTCACAGCACATGTGCCTTTTCAGCCCCATGTAGCACTTAGCACACTCTGCTTCTGGTTCTTCTTTATACCCTGTGGCAGCTATTAGGTCTGTGTTGTGTTTAATGGTATCTCAAGCTTTGGACCACTGATACCAGTCCGAGCGGTCAGAGTGTTAGCACTCCTCCAATATCTATTACAATTAGTTTTTGATTAAGGGGCCCGACTTGACCGTTTGAAGCCTTTAATGTTGTGTCAACTGGCTGATGATGGAGAGAGAAGCATGGACGCCTCCCAGAAACAAAGAGGCTGGTAAAAGGCTCAAAGTGAACCATTTTATCTTTCTAATGGAAACCAGATGACCCTTTCCTTCTCTACGGTTTTTTAAGCAACCATTTTTTTGTTCCGGGGTGAGATAGACAGCTCTCCCACTCCTAGTTATTTATGCAAGGGTTTCTGGCATTTATATTTTCTTTACTCCTTTCAAAGTATGTTTTTAGTAGCGTTTTAAGGGAGCTTCTATTGCAATATGAAGCTTGAGGGATGGTGACCAGTGAAATCTTCTCATTTCTTAATTAACACGACCAGAGTTGCTAAGGTTACCCCTGACCTTTGGAATTAACACAGCGATAGATACCAAATAGCAGAGATTTACTTAAAGCACTCTTGAGAAAAGCCGGCTTTAACAGAAAACGTGGTGACAGTACATTATAGGAGACCAATTAAAAGCAATAAATGACCTCCAGAAAACAAACAATCAAATTCCACCCATTTATAGAAACATTAACAACATTTAGAATTATGCTCTTGAGTATTTAGCAGTGCAGTGGAATAGTGCACTTTTTGCGATATTAAAAGCTCTAGCTGAAATGGCAAAGTGCTAGTAGCTGTTACTTTGATTATGTCTGGAATTTCTGCATGTTCACAACTCACACCCACATCTCAAAGTAATTGATGGAAAAAGGTCAAATAGCTTTTTTAGGGTGGTGTGTTTATAGGGAGGATTCAAGTGCAAATATCTCTGTTACACCAGCGCAAGAGCTTAACGTTTTTTAACAATTAATTTATTTATATAAAAACACATTTTCATGATGCTTATGATTACCCCACGGACACTTTTTAAGACCACCAAGGACAAAATAAAATTCTTGGTGTGAAAGAAAAGGAATTGCCTGTGTCCTGTCACTGAGTGGAAAGCCTTGAAATAGCCTTGAATATCCGCTTTCATTAAGTCAAAGATTTTGTTCATTAAGATAACACCATGCACTGGAAATGTTTGATCAGCTCCGGCAATTTGATGAATGCACCAAACCAAGATAACAATTTATTTAAAAACTATAAAGTGAATATTTGTTTCCTTCAAGGACATGATTTCAAGATTTATTCCAAATAGAGGGGTTCAAAAAGTCTAATTTCTCATTTACGTTTTATGAATATCCATGACTGCACTGAGTGTGTGTGTGTGTGCTTTTTTCCTGAAATCAAGCTGTTTGAGATTTCGTTGAATAGCATGAATCATGAGAAAGTTTATGATTACAGTTCTTGAGCGGAGGAAGATACAAATACTTGAACCAAAAACGATCATCCTGTTCTGTTTTGTTTTGTGAAACACACACACACACACACAGAGGAGAAAGCTCTGGCATGCAAGCGGGCTGATAAGTTGCAGCTTGTGCAGTTTCGCTCAGTTTACTTTATCCCTGGGCTGGAAATGACCTTGTTTTTACAGCTCTCACAGGTGTGTGTGTGTTTCTCAATGCTCTGATTCATCACAGCTCAAAGGCTGCTGTCCTATAACGATTACTATTTGTTTCTTTAGCACCAACGCAGACCTGTATTCACCCAGCATGCTTTTGTTCACACATGGCCTGTAACCCAGCAAGCTGTGGTTTAATCATTACCACGACCTGCTTATCTGTTCGTCAAGCAGGTAACCATTAATAGGTGTTTACTTTCCGATGACCTCTGCAAATGTGCGCAGGCCCTTTGCCCCATGAATGTCAACAAAGACCTGATTTCTTTCTTACTTTTTTCTTCCTTTCTTTTTTTTTACTTCATGACCCAGCTTCTTGACCTAGCAGGACTACTTTTTTTTTCAGTGAGAAGTCTGTGATAGCATGTGAAAACAGCACAAAATTTATTTTTGAATTCAAGGGTCAACTGCTGAATAGGAAAGAATTCTGTACAAATGTAACATCGTAAGTGAAAGATTATAATTGATGGCTTCACACAGGAAAGAACAAAACACAATCTCTTTAAAATCATGGTTGTCAATTGTAGACAACATTCCTGCATGCAGCTCAAACAGTAGAGCAAGTTGTAAAAACTTTTGTGCATGTTTTACTCAATAAAATTGAGGCACCTATTTGCATCAGCTTTTTAAGTTTTGAGCTAATTTTATTCTTGTTTGTTCTATTAGACTCTACATGCTTCCAACTTGAACTCTTAAGTAATGGCAACTCAAATTCATTTTCAATTGGCAACTCAATGTTTTTCAATTTACCAACTATAGTTTTCATCAAACATAAACCTTGTTGTTTTTAAAGTAATATTTACCTATTTATCATTATAAGCCACATTTTTTTATTTGAAAAAAGTATTCAATCTGTATTTAAATATTTCTAAATTTTTCAACAATAGTGTAATGAAACAGTAAACAAGCGTCTCAAAACAAAACAGTTATTCACTTTACAATGTTACAACAGTGCAACAATGCAAATTACAGAGTAACATTAACACTACTGGTAACACTTTCGCTTAGAGACCAATTCTCACTAATAACTATTAGCTTGTCTAGTTGCTTATTAGCATGCATATTGCTAGCATATTGACTGTTTATTAGTACTTATAAAGCGCATATTAATGTATTAACATATTAACAACCTCATGCCTAAACTTAACAAAAACCTTAAAACCTTAACAAACTATTCATTTTATCGAGGGAAAACTCTTAGTTAATAGTGGATGTGTTCCCTAATTCTAAAGTGTTACCACACATCCTTTTCAGATTAATGTATTCCCCTTTACATAAAGCTGTTCACAGGCTTCATCGGGAAAAACAACCAAAAACAACAACAAAAAAACACCTAAATTATATGATGGACTCACTCAGGATAATACTTGAACTATGTAAAACAGTTTATATGTGACCCTGGACCACAAAACCAGTCTTAAGTCGCTGGGGTATATTTGTAGCAATAGCCAACAATACATTGTATGGGTCAAAATGATTGAGTTTTCTTTTATGCCAAAAATCATTAGTATATTAAGTAAAGATCATATTCCATGAAGATATTTTGTAAATATCCTACTGTAAATATATTAAAACTAAATTTTTGATTAGTAATATGCATTGCATAGAAAACTTCATTTGGACAACTTTAAAGGCGATTTTTTGCACCCTCAGATTCCAGGTTTTCAAATAATTGTATCTTGGCCAAATATTGTCCTATCCTAACAAACCATACATCAATGGAAAGCTTATTTATTCAGCTGTGATGATGTACAAATCCCAATTTCGAACAATTGACCCTTATGACTGGTTTTGTGGTCCAGGGTCACATATAGTGTTTAGAACATTGCTAAAATATCAAATTCAATTTCTTTAAAAACATTACATCAGCAAATAAAAATGAACAGCAATAGTGTTTTACAGAGTAAATGTTGAAACTTAAAATGTATGTTCTGCAGTCCACAATATCTTAACACTTACTACTACTAGCTGAGCACACTTCACTTGGGTTAGTTCACCCAAAAATGAAAATTCTGTCATCATTTACTCACCCTGATGTTGTTCCAAACCCATACGACTTTTGTTCATCTTCAGAACACAGATGAAGATATTTTTAATGAAATCTGAGAGTTGTCTGTCCCTCCCTTGACAGTTTATGCAATGACCACTTTGACTCTTCAAAAAGTTCATAGAGAGATCGTAAAACTAATCCATAAGAATTGAGCAGTTTAGTCGACATTTTCTGAAGAGACTCGATCACTTTATATAAAGAACAGATCTAGCTTAGCTTTTATTGACATATACACATCCGTCAATGCAGATCAGTTATGGTAAGCGGAAGCTCAAGCATTCTTGCTTGATGTTTGAGAACCAATGAGATTCATTCTTGTGTTACGCAGCACGTTTGAGCTTCTGCAGGAACCAATGAGGGTTGTTCTTATGTGTCAAGCAAGTACTTCTGTTTATGTTCACTGATCAACGTTTATATGTTAATAAAATGCTAAATTCAAACTGTTCATCATATAAAGCAATCATGGCTCTTAGGAAAATTTGAATTAAAAAACTGCTCGATTATGAACATTTTAAAGCATCAAAGTGGTATAGTTGCATGGACTGTCAAAGGATTTCATTTAAAATATGTTCATTTGTGTTTTGAAGATGAATAAAAGTCTTATGGGTTTGGAGTGACAAACGAGTAAATGACAGAATTTTCATTTCAGAGGTGTGGGATTTTTGATGGGAAGTGATTGCATCTTCTTGGACTTGCAAGGCATCTTCATCATCCAGATCCTGTTGCGGACAAAGATTTGACTTTCATTTCAATGATTTCATTTAATTGAAATGATTGATTTAGATTGATTTATTGCTTTATTATTATTCTGTTATATACTATTATTATTATCATATTCTAAAACAACTGCTTGTCCACTGAAATAAAGAAAAACAAGCACAAACTAAATGTTAACTGGTAAGAAGTAGGACCATAGTAATTATATTTCATTTAGACCCCATTACAATAGTGCCTTTACAACATTCCAGCATCAATGTGGTCATATGTAATGTGATTCTTAGCTTTTTCAGTGCAGTTGGAAGACAGAGAATATTTTAGTCTTGTCCCTTGCTCCTCACATGATAACAGTTCAGTAGTGCCCCAGTCATAATGAGAGCTCAATTTTGATGTCAAACTCCTTAAAATGAAAGCAAAAAAAGTAGAAATTACAGCATGGCATCTTCCCCAAACACCTGTCTTAGCTAAATTCAACTCAGTCATTTATGTAAATGCTTTAGAATAAACTTTTTCCAAACGTTTAAAGACATTTGATATAATTTCAACACACAATTACATAAAAGACAAGTATATATTTACATTGCACGCAGTAACTTTAAATCATTAAGGAGTTGCATTACAGATAGCCTAATGAAAAACGTTGATTACAAGGTATACAATTCAAGGGTAATTTATGTAAACAAGCTAATAAAACAAACATGTAACGTTAATGTTATATTCGTCACGGCATCTTTTGTGATATTAAAGCATTCCACCACTGATCCGTTCATATTTAATGTATTTCTTACCTTTTTCGGTGCTGCTGGCCTCTGACGGAGAAGATTCATGACAGAGAGAAGCATCGGAGTCATAAATGAGCTCAATGTCGATGTCAAACTCCTTAAAATGAAAGAAAAGTAACTAAAGCGATTACCGCATGGCACTTTCCCCAAACTCCTGTAAAGCCAAACCCCGACACAGAATAAACATCTCTGCTAACTTCGACTGATCAGTCATTTGTGTAATGTTAAATGCTTACGAAACTACTTTTTTTTTTTTAGTTTAAAGACATGTTTCCTATTATTTCAAGTACATTTTACTTAAATAGATCTCGAAAAGGCACACATCTAAAAAGTCTCGTAAAGATTACTCAATATTATACATACATTTAATTCTAAAAAAAAGTTTGCAACAAATTGATATTAAGCACGTTACTCAAATTTTCAAAGTAAAGTACCATACATAGTTTTATTTGTTGAAAATATTGATATTTTTTTGTTACAATTACAACTCCACTGAGTCATTTTTCTCAGTGTGCAAGCAACGTCAAGGTCATGGGTTTGATTTACACACAATGTATTAACTGTTTAAATGTAAAGCTTGAATGCAGTGTAAGACACCTTTGATAAAAGCACCTGCCAAATGCATAAATATAAATGTAAACTTTCAGGCATCATTGATTTTTCTCTTATGAAAAAGACCTTATAATCTCACAGTACACTCTCACAGATCTCAAAATATCCGATTGAGACGTCATTATGAATTTTTAATATGAAAGAAATTTCACTTCACATTGACATTTACGTTTATTCATTTAGCAGACGCTTTTATCCTTACAATTCACATTCACTTCATACTTCACAAGGCCAAAGTATCTAAGCAATACTATCTATATCATTTGTATAGCTCTAGATTCCTACAATTTGTATAGCTTGTCAAGAGTTGTTGTGATTTCTTTTTCTTTTACACTACCCTTGAAAAAGTTTGTGTTTGCGGAACGATGTATGTTATAATACATCGTGTACACTCACTAAACAAAGAGTGACAGCTTTTTAGTGGTTATGAGCACTCTTTGCAAGCTTTCTAGTCAATAATCCATTTAAAATGTAGCCTAGAACTTTGTTTTTGGGCCACACACACGTTGCAAAGTTTCGGGAATGACGTCAGTATATTTATGCGGGACAAAATATGTGAAAATGTGCATTAAGACTAGAGCACCCTCACTCATTTCAGAAGCACCCTCAGTGATTATTTCTGGAACCTGGTTGATAGGCTTTTATTGCAAAACTATATACAAAAACAACAAAATACAAATGCACTAAATCAAATAATTGAATAAATATTTACAATTTAAGCACTTAACTAAAATAAGTAGGCTATTAATAAAATAAATAACTAGAGAAGGCTGACTATAATCAGCTTGCTTCCATTTAGTGAGATAAGCCTACTCATCACCTGAATTAGAAAAAAAGCTCTTTGTCTTCAGTGATGCGAAGACAACGTTTGAGCATGTACACACAATATCTGAGCGAGAGCAGAGCCAATTCATAAAATAACAATATTTAAAAGCACACGTCCAGTTTTGTGTGAGTGAAGGAAATCCGCTTGGGAGTGGAGAGATTCGTCCTTGCGCACATGGATCGCGTAACATTATGTGCTCTCGACATTGTCATTAAGATCACACTATCGCAAGACATCTGGTAGGGGGGGGCACCAGGGGTGGCCAGACAAATTTCAGGGGGGGCCGGTGCCACCCCTGGCCACCACCTAGACACGCCCTTGCTCGAGCCCACCAGCCGCCGCTCACTCTAGCCGGCCGCCGCTAACTCTAGCCCCAGGCCTCTGCTCACTCTAGGCCGCCGTGTGTTTGGTTGTGAAAGAAAAACTACTTTGTTTGGCCTTCCAAAAGAGGACATGACTAGTAATCAGTGGTTAAGTTGTATTTACAACACTGTTCCAGAACAGTTCAACCCAAATATTTTGATGTGTCCAGCGCATTTTATGGAGGACTGTTTCCTGATCCTGGGAGAGTAGACTACAATGCCGGCTGTTCTGACTCACAGACTGCAAGTATGTAATGGGTTTTCATGTTTTTGTCTCGTCGCTCCGGCCAGGACACGGCATCACACATAGTATGGTACGGGGTGTAACATTTCCATCACACACTTGAGGTATTCGGCCAATCACAACGCACTGGATAGCTGGCAAATCAGAGCACACCTCGCTTTTCAGACCGATGAGCTTTGTAAAAATCGACTCGTTTCAGAAAGGCGGGGCATAGAGGAGAAACAATAATGTACAGTATGTGGAAAATAATGTTTTTTTTTAACTTTAAACACATTTCATTACACCAAATACACAAAATAATATTCTTTTTAGCAACATGATATGACCCCTTTAATGATGCTATGGCATGACGTGGCATAAGTAAAAATTTATGTAAGCCAAGATTTAAAAAAAGAGCTTTAAAAGTATTATGTATAGGCTAAGATTTTGTCAAACCAGGGGCGTAGCCTTCATTTCAGAAGTGACAGAAATGTCAAATACAATAACTGTATGTACTGTATGTATGTATTATTATAATTATTATTATTATTTTGTTTTACAAGGAATTCTTTTCTTATCTATTACTTTGAATTTGCTATAAGAAATCAAATACACTGCTGGACAATAAACAATCATTTGTAATCTATAATTTTTTTCCTAATGCCAATTTCTTTATTGTTTTATATGCTACAAACAATTATTTAAATTTTCTGCACAGAATAAGGTAGAAAATATACTTTATAGTTTCTGTACTGTAACAAATGATATGTCAATTAGCACTGCATCATCCATAAATTGTATTTATTTATTGTGTTTATTGTCTTAACGTTTCTGCTTTTTATTCAGATTAGCTGCAGATTTAGACTGGCACGTCTTAAGTTCTATGAGCGCGAGATCAATTCTCTTTAGTGCGAAAACTTCTTTATCTCATTTTCATAAAATAAAATGCTATAGCATTTAACTTTTCCTCTCCATCAGCGAATGATGATTCTGAAAGAAAATGAGCCCAATGTCTGTTTGCTATAGCAACGAACGCTACTTTCATGCATCTGATTATCAGATAAACCTCGTGCTCTTATTTCTAGGTTGTTGTTAATGCTTGTGGTTATTTTAACAGTTTCCTTCGTACATTCGGTTCAACGACATTGTTAAAACACATTTATCATTCAATGGAACTGTGTGTATGCTTTAGACACTTACATTTTTGCTCCGTCCATGCAATAAATGCGCAACCTTCGACTGCTCAGGTAATGGTATGACCGAGAGCCATTGAAAAACTATAGAAAAGTAAAACTACTTCACTTTAAAGGGGGCATAACATACACAGTTTCACCCAATCTCATGTTAATCTTGAGTACCTATAGAGTAGTACTGCATCCTTCATATCTCCAAAAAGTATTTCGTTTTATCATATTTATAAAAGAAAGATACAGCTTTTCGATTCTCTTTGGAAAAAGCAGAGCTCCTGGAGGCGTGCCGTGGGTGGAGCTAAAGAGTGACGAGCACTTGGGCGCCGAATGCCAACAAAACAGACATTTGATGCCGTTTCACTTACCATCTGCAGTTCTGAATCATGACCGGGATCTTTTATAGCTGGGACTGCTCCATCTTTCAGTATCAAATGATGTGCAAAGCCAGCGTCGAACTGGGCCTTGTTTATAAAACACTCATCAACAAACACACTTGGTGAAACTCCGTTGCTGCTCCAGAAAAACAAACTGTATCCACTGTTTACATAACGCTGCGTTCTTTAGGAAGCTGAACAAAGATATCTTTCCCTTACAACCAAAAACACACTTCTTTGGATTGGAGACATTCTTCCCGAGCAAGTCCCGTGCAACGCCGGACGAAGCACGTTGATGGGCGCAATCTCGCTCTTGCTCTGGTCGATGCGGGTGCGTTCTTCCGGGGGGAAATGCCCATATAAGGAGTTCCACCCTCGTTTACGTCATTAAGAGCCACGATCGAAAAAAACTTGTACGAACCCGGAAGTAAGATTTTTGGCACAAAAATACTCTGTCATACGTCCAAATTGTTTTTTGAAACTTTGTCCATGCTTAGCATGATAATCCAACTCTTTAACAGTGTAAACAACTCTGAATGCATGAAACAGCATTGTACCCCCCTTTAACATTACTCTGGCCACGAGTCCTAAGGAGAGATCACACATCAGCTGCTCAAAAAATGTGTCAGTGAGACGAACGGAGCGCGAGTGCAATCCTGGGACAGTCACAGGCGGTAAATAGTGGAGCGTGAGAAGGAGAGATGCGAGGCACGAACATTGTTCAAGGTCTCCATTCATTCGTGCTTGTAGTAATTGAATGTGTATGTATTTTGAAAGCATTGAATCGCTATAGAAATCGCGATTCATTCGATTCTTAGCGTTTTAAATCGATTGCTGTCCGAAATCGGCGAATCACGATTCAAAAATCATGTTTCAAGATCGATGCATATGCATCGTCAGGGTTTGTAATTGATGCATCGATAAAACGAGTGAATCGTTACACCCCTAATATAAATGTATCTTGTGAATGCATTAAAAAATTTATATGTTTATGTTTTAAACCCCTTTTTTATTTTATATAAAATAAATAAATAAATAAATAAAACAAATAAAATGTACAAGAATTATTTTGGAAAGAAAAAACTTATTGAACAAAAATGCTAGGGCTATAAAAAAAGGCATTCTTCAGAAAATTTTCTCAACGTAACATTTGAGTTTCATTTATTGAACCGACCCCTCTTGTAAAAGCAGCACCCCAGCCTTCAAAACCCCATGTCCAGATGTGTCTCCCTCCCTCTCTTTAGCTGCTGCCCAAATGATAACTCGCCCTTTGTCTCTTTCACTGAGCTGGGTAATATATAGCTGTGAGGCGTCCTGACATAGTTATATTTGCTGGTGTCCTAGAAAAGACAAGGAGACTCAATTACAATGGCAGCAGAGCGAGTGCCTTTACGAATGTCAACTCTTCGCCCAGACGCAGCGTGATGAATCACACCTGACCTCACACCAGGCGTCCATTTCTCAGCAGCCTGCGCACAAGTGTGGACTAGTAAATGAGAAATCAGGGTGGGGTGGTGCGAGGTGTAGGGGGCTCGGTTTTCGAGAAGTGTGTGTGTGTTTGCGTGCGGGGCCAGAGGCCACGAAGATGAGACAAACAGTGGAGAGCCCGCAGATGTCCTTGCTCGCACTGCCTGTTGAGAGAGGAGCAGCGTAGATGCTGTGGAATTGTAAGCAGTTGTTTAAAGCTTTTAGACAGGGGGGGTTTAGGGAGCGTTGCATTGGGAGGCTCGACGGCCCTGCTGCAGCTCGTGTGATGCTCTCCTGCAGCTCTGTCAGGAGAAGAACCAACCTGCATCTCTGTTTGTCCCCACACACATGTACGCACACACAGTGCTGCCTGCCTGCCAGCAGCCTCCTCTTACTCCAGGCAGAGCGTAATCCTTGTTGACAGAGAGCGAGTGTGGTTATTAGGTCACTTGTGTTTTCATGCTGTACTGTAAAGCACTTAGCGGGCTGCAGTGGCAGCGGCTCACAGACTCACACCAGCGCTGTGGCAGTTCAGAGCCACTCTCCTCCGGGAGAAGAGACCTCTTATCCCGCCACTGCACCGTCTGACCCTGGCAGGACAGCGGGTGAGGAGTGGTGGGTGGCTGGGTCAGAGACGGCTGTAACGCTGCCCTGGGCCAACTCTGAGGGCAGGCAGGGGAGTCCCTAGCCTCCTGGGAGAGGGAGGGTGGAATGAGCAACAGGCAGACACAAGGGCAAAGGCAGATGTGTGCAAGGATAGATGAGGAGATAAATCACAGGCTGTCAGAGCCCGAGGCATTTGCATTCCTGAAATGTAGCTTGCACTGGCGGTTGGGGTACGGAGACCTCTGCATGCGTAGAGTCCAGCGCAACATCAGATGTGGATGCGATTCACACACAGCTGCAGAGGAGTTAGGTCATTTGTTCATTATGCAAGTAGTGACCTGAATTACACTGAAAGGGTGCTTTAAATGTTAAAGGAGTTCCTAAATAAAGTAATTTAATAAATAATACATCTGATGGAGCACAAAAAAGATTTGTTGCACAGAAATGGGCCAAATTTTCTAGAGCTTTTCAGGGTATTACAATGGGTAGCAAAAAGGATGAAATGTACTAGATTTATCTTGCACTTTCAAAAACAGCACACACTTTAAACCGATTGTCAAAGTTCAGAGGACATACACAATATTGGAGGTAGGGTTGGATTGGGTCATGTGATTATAGTTTATAGTTGGCAGGCCGTCTGTGATGTATCGTACCTGTGTCCTGGACTTATTCAATGTCATATGGAAGGACAGGACACCCTTTTGGGATGTGAGTGGTCTCACCAGGTTGTTTCGATGATGCTTTGACTTCATGAAGAAGAAGAACTGTGAAACTAAGAAACAAACAAGATTAAACAGTCTGAGTCAAAGTCTATCTATTGGTAGAAGCATTAAAAATATGGAAAATTTGTTGTTGTGCACAGTAGGACATACTGTGCACAACCCTGTTTTATTACAATTCCCCAAAATGTAATACAAAAACATATGATTTACGATTTATTACAAAAAGATATGCAATATTTATTGAGAGACAAGAATGTTTAAACAGGTACAAACTATTAATTGGAACAGTAAAAGAGCAGAATGTGTAACAAAGAGCAAGATCATGATGCATTTTCTATTTTGGGATACATACTATGTACAGTTTAACATTATATATAATGATTATTTAATGATTATTTACTACAACACTGTATAAGATTCAGTGTAAGGTTCAGATGTAAAAATTCAGTCTTTGATATGAGATTTTTTCCCCCCTAATGCACTAGCCTATTTTTTTTTTCACTTGGTTTGATGTTAAAAACAAGAGGGAAATGTACAAAAAAGTCTTAATTTCTTATGCAGTATGCATCTTTTTTGTAAATTATTTTTAGATATTTTAACTGGAAAACAAGTTACAAATGTCATTCTCATTAGTCCACCATTCTAATAATGAAACATAATGATTTAAAAAAGCATATTTAGCTAAATGCACACTAAATACGTGATGGGCTAAAACATAATTTAGCAGTATTCAGCTATTTAGATGCTAGAGCCTTTCTTCCTTTCATGGCGCATGGAAAAGTAAAGGCTCTGACCATGCTTCTACTCACAGTGTGCAAATCATATAGTTGGTATTCAAAGTGTCAGTGAAACAGTTAAGCAACATCAAATGATGACATTGGCTTTGCAGACCTCTTTCCATGATGTCAAGAGCATAGTGAAGCTTAAAGGGGATTACAGTCTAATTCTATCGTTAAGGCTCCCAACTAAATTGACTTGGCTGAGTGCATATGGTGGACTAAAGCAAACTTAATTTTTTTGTCGGTTGATAGGCGCAATGGTTGGAGCACAGAAGGGTGCAGAGGACAGAAAATCAGAGAGAGAGAAAGAGAGGAGAAATCAAGACTAAGAGAACTCATGGTAGGAGGTTCGCTGGAGGGTGGACGGGTGGGGAACAGTCATCAGGAAACTCTTGTCGGCCCGGAATGAGGAGTGTTGAGTAACTAATGAGAATGTTTTACACAAGAAATGTATCAAGGCTGAGGAGACACATCTGGGTATGCAACTCACACAAAGAGTCATCCAGCTCAAAATTATTTTTTTATTGCTCTAAGTGCAATCCTCCCATTTGAAACCCAGCCAGAAATCGAGAGGGAGCAAAAAAGAGACAGAGGACAGAGGGAAACAGCTGGGTTCCCTAAGCAGAATGGCTGGTAAGGCTGAAGGGAGAGAGGGATGGCTTTCTATGGAGAATATGGAGGAGAAATATAAACTCCAAGAGAAGTTGCTGGGAAGAAAGCCATGAAACAAGTGAGTTAAAAAAGAGAGGGAAACCAAGGAGGACAAGATCAAGATCAGGGCCAAAGAGAAGAGATTATGAAGAACTAATAATGAAACATCGCAAGAGTGAGAAAGGAGGGGGAGTGTTGACGGCGGTTTAGGAAAACAAGCGAGAAAGAGATAGTGGCCAAAATCAGCGGAAATGTAATGCGAGAGAGGCAGGAAAAGGGATGCATGGCTCTGATTTGTGAGATGAGATGAACTGAAACGGGATGGAGGCAAATTCCAGGAAGACGTCTGAAAGCCAGAAAATTAAGTCACCTGTGCAAATACAACTCATATTTACTCATTGTGGAATAATCATATGACAGTTCCCCATTTTATCTGTCTTGGTCAGGACTCTCAGGAAGAGGCCTGGGTCCAGAAAAACAAACACAACTGCTAAAGCAAAACGATCGTGTGCGCTTGGCTCACTGAATGCGAGTCGAGCAGCAACCGCTACCCTAATAAGCAATGAACTATGAGCAACTGAAAAATACTAAAATAATTTACGGCTGTAGACTCATTCAGAACGTTTCTTTGGAATCATGAATCGAGAAATTTTCTTCCAGCAGTTGTCAAAAGAATTGAAATATGCCGACCGCAAAAACAGGATCAGCAGCAATAACAAAACTAACCCATGCAAACTTCAACATGGGATGTGAACACATGTTCCCAACTAGTCTGCCAATTACTCTACCTCAGATTTACTGTTGTTCTCAATTAAAGAGCAGTTTGGCAACAAACAATAACATGTGTTGTGATGCTGCGGTTGAGCCAAGTTAATGTTTCATATTAGAGCTCCCGCAACTACTCACCAGGCCCGAATCCATGCAGTTTAGTGCATACTTCACTTAACGGGGTGCTCATAAGTCATTATGCATGCCAAAGTTCTGCTGGGCCATAATGAGTGAAACAAAAAAACTCCTGCACAAAAGCATGCTACGCGTACAGACGACAATCGCAGGAGCTCCTTCCAAATATTCCAACTCATAAACATTTCAAAAAGTATTAGAGGGTGCATGGGATTTACAAATCCAGGGATTTTCATCAACTACTGCCTTAGGACTTGATTGGGTGTTTTTTTAATGGATTTGATTCAAAGAATGGCTATATATTCTCGACGGACGTTTATAGTGAATACAGAGCTCCTTGTTTTGAATGTTCAGAACAGACTCCTATCGACGTGTTTGAAAAGGCGATGAACACTAAAGTGGTTCATCTGTCTAACAGATGAGTTTTATGGTCATGCGCATGTCAGCTACCAATTCTCTGCATTTCAGGATAGTAATTTAGAGCGGCTGCATATTTCGAGCATTTCAGTCGGAAGTCACATATTTGTAATTGAATGTTTGAGCTCTCTTTTAAGCCACTTAATGTGTGCAATCCGATATAGTGTTTGCAAACCGTTTACTCATGACCTGTGCTTTCCCTTTCCTTAAGCCATTCAAGAGAGCCAGCAAAAGCAAAGTGCCTTTTAAGGCCCTGAGTATTGCCAGAGTCCTCCTTATATTACTGATGATATCTTTACTGAGGGCTTCGCTGACAAGAGCCCAGGGATCAGAACTGCCCATAAAGCAGATGGGAAATTACATCTCATCCTAGGCCCTGCGCTCAAATGGCCTGTCTGTTGATGCAGCGAACTTGTGGTGTCTTTAAACAGGGACTTAGCCTTTGACCCCAAACCCCCCCCCAACCTTATACGATTGCGATGAGGAAGCTACTGGAGATAATCAAAGGCGGGCCGAGTACAATTGGACAACTGCACTGACTGGAGATCAGTCTCAATCCTGGGAGTCTGATGGCTGGAAGGAGATATCTAAGACTGTGTCCACACACTAGGCCTGAAAAACCCTAATAACGTCAAGCCTGTCATTGATAGAGTAAGATCTAGGCTGTCGTATTTGCGGAAGTGTGCCTCAACAACAATCTTTACAGCCAAAGACATGAAATGCTACCTTAACTGCAAAATAATGCTTTGTCGGCCGTTCCAATATTTCATGCAGTGAAGACTTAGTTTGACTAAATATCAGCCGGGGTTGGAATGAGTGTGTGAGAGAAAATTCATTGTGCTGTAATCCCTTAAGCCCTTCAGGGATGGCCTCTGACCAGGGCATATGAGATCCACTACCCAGCGCTAATCTGTTCCCAACACTGATGAACCCAGAAAGTGGCTCTTGCGGTTAACAAACTGTCCACGGATGGATTATCCAGTTTGCAGCAACGCAAAGTTCAGAACACAGCAGCTGTAATCCCAGTGTCTCCATGACACACGTGCTGAGGCCTTGCACTCAATAAGCGCAAGCTTGGCCCAAAGAATTGTGTTTATCCATTCATCCATGCTCATTCCTCCCCCTCTCTGTGACACAGGCACTGATCACTTTATCCCTCTGTTCTAATGGCAGAGAGACAGAGCTAGCACGCTTCCGCCACGCACGGCACAAATCCCTATTGACCTGGCTGACCACTCACTGACCAATATCTAAAACACTTTTTGCAAGAAAAAAAAGAGAAAATAATTTAAAATTCCAAACAGTGTCGGGGCTGGTGAGCATTACATAATCAAAGTATGATTTAAGTTACAAGTCATGAATTACTTGTGAATTTACTATATAGTATTTTTCAAATAGGTAAGGTTGCTATTTAATTTATTTACAGACAAATACTCCTCCCTTCTTCATGCTGGGAGAAAAGGTGGTGTATTTAAAGTGGGCATGCAGGGGGCGTTGCAATATGTGTGAAGCATGATGGGTACTGTAGTTCAAGAGTATGTCATTTGGTCCCACTTTATATTAGGTGGCCTACTATGTACTTACATTTAAATTAATCATTTGGTACAATGCACTTAATGTTTACATGTTTTTACATTGTACTTACATTTTAAAAATACCTGCATGTAATTACATCTGTAATTAATTTCTGTAATTACATTTATAATTACACAGTTGACCCATTCATCTGTAATTAATTTCTATAATTACATTTATAATTACACTGTTGACCCATTCCTTACACCTTAACCCATTCTTAAACTTACCCAAACCACCAAACCTGTCCCTAACCTTACCAGTATCCCACCTCAAGAGCTGCAAAAGTGTTTTGAAATAAAATATGAACACAATAAGTACATTGTACTTATTTTTTGATGCAAGTACATAGTAGTTAAGGCCACCTAATATAAAGTGGGACCTGTAATTTTTATCAGTAACATTTACAGACCAAGTGTTCAGCAAATGTTACCCACATGTCATTACAACATATCATTGAGGAACACAAAAGGAAAGAGAATGGCATGAGGGTGAGTAAATGATGACATTAGTTAGCTGATGGAGAGAAAAAGTAATGCAAAATTGTACCCATAAAAAGAGTACAATTTATCATTTCCATAAGTTACTTTATACAATTGTAAACTGTTATATATAAAAGTAAACTTAAAAGGGGTAACCAGATATTTTTAGGTCTATTTATAATTGATCTAACCAATACTCAAACCATGAATACATGCTTACATAAAACCATTTAATTTTATGAGGCAGTTTACTTTCTTTTAGTTTAAGAGAAGAAGAAAAAAGTTAACACCTCAGAAGAGTTTTCCCTCAATAATCTCCTAATTTGCTGTTTATTAATAGCTAGTAAGGTAGTTGTTAAGTTTAGGTATGGGGTAAGGGATCTAAGATGTCATGCAGAATAAGACTGGTTTATAAATACTAATAAACAGCCATTATGCTAGTCATATGCATGCAAATAAGCAACTAGTTAATAGCGAGAATAGGTCCTTAAAATGAAGTGTTTCCAAAAAAAAAAAAAGGAAGTTTTTATAATTTA